AAACGCGGCAGGACCGCGGTGGTTGCACACCTTTCTGTAAAACGGGCATAACTTTTTGTACAAAGCTCCGTTTGAGCTCCATAATATATCGTTAGAAAGCTATTTCAAAGGCCTACAACTTTCATGCTTTGTGTTTTCCTAAATTCTCTATAAAGTTTTACTAAAACCTGCTGGAAGACGGACCTTCTGCAAACTTAGTCGATTTTGTCAAATCTTATGCACCTCACTCTCCGTCTTGATTCCAAAACAACTATTTTCACCCATAATCATCCCGATGGGACTTCATGTATAAAATATCAAATTAATACCCATTTAATATGTCCACACCTAGTCCGAATGTACGTGATGTTACAAACAGTGAGGGGATTAAATTCCTTAAGGACATACAAACAACTTGTGGGCTCGAAATTATTTTTTTCTATTTTGTTTATTAAACTAATGTTTTTCTATTTTTCTGATTTTTTGATTTCGAACAAAGTAATACCAACAATCTTAAGGAATTTAATATATTTTATGTGTTTGTCTTAACATCTGTTTGTTTTGGAAACTAAACGATAAAGAGATTATCGTTGCAAAAATGGCGTCTTTTCAATTAGCATGCGACAATTTTCAGAGATGTACTCTCGATGCGAGTTGTTGGAGGAAAGCCAATATCGAATGCCTTTCTATTGAGACAAGGGAAGTTCACGTCGGTGATTCACAAATCAAGTGTGTCTCTCTGAGGGTCAAAGATGTAGTTGTCACTTGACTTGAACAAGAAATAAGAAATTACACAAGCACATATGGTTGGCTAATTATAAAATGCAAAACATACTGAAAGTGAGGCAGTCGTTTCTTAGAAGAAATTGAAGCTGTTATGACTCATATGGTTGGATGAAACATGGCCACTTGTCTTGTGTACAAGGACAAGTGAGCAGATGACTCATTTGTGTGTTTTCGAGATTAACTATAAGAACCCACAACTAGTGGTGATCAAAGTGATGATTCAAAATGAAAGTCATAAAGTCCAGTAGATTTGTTTCCATCCAAATAATACAAACAAGGACGCGAATCATTTGTGACAAGTAATGGCCGGAAATGTCACAGTTTAATCACTGTAAAAGAAAAACAGTGAAGGCAACGATTTGAGAAGAAACTGATAATATATCAGGTTCTACTTTCTTTATTCTATTTATTTTTAACTTTCTACCCTTAGTGATTTAAGATATTTTGCTTCTATAAATATCGGGGTAGATATTTATTGTGTGATGATCTCATATTAGAAATCTAGATTTATATGCATGACTAGGAATAATATGTTTGTATGTTATTCCTCTGACCAAATAAAAAAATAAATAATAATAGGTGATAAACAATTTGGTTGCATGCATGGTTTCTCAAGAATGTAAGATATGAATTAGACTTACAATGATACTTGAAGTATTCTTGAGATCATGAATATAATATATGTAAAGATATTACATATGTTTGTTTGATAAGAAAATATATCAAACTGTTGAAATGTTTAGGGGTTATAATGGTTTAGTTGGAAAGCCATTTGAAAAGAAAATCAAAATACTTGTGATTTTCTACCTCTGGTTTGGAGAAAATTAAAATTCTCATGATTTTCTATACCCGTTATGGAGAATAAAATCTTCGTGATTTTCTTCTCTTGCTTCGAGAGCAAAATCTACGTGATTTTTTACTCGTTTGTTGAGATTAAAGTCTTCGTGACTTTCTACTCATTTGTCAAAAGTTAAAGTCTAAGTGACTTTATACTAGTTTTGAAGATTAAAATCTTAGTGATTTTCTACTCCAATTTATTATTCGGTTTGAAGATTAAAAACTTCACCGTTTATTAGATCCGGTATCAGATATTACTCGGTTAGAAGATTAAAAACTTCATCGTTTGTTAATTCTGATTGTGTCGGGTTGGTTTGAAGATTAAAAACTTCACCATTTATTAATTCTGGCTATGTCATGCTTTTCGCTTATGCATGACAAAAGCCAATGTTAGGCGTAATGTATAAATGATATAATTTTTGAAACCCACCAATCTTTAGTGGATATTGATATGATAGTCAGTGAATCATTACTTGTTCAGTCTTAGTGATGACTAGTGATGAAACTACCAATTCGAAAGTTGTTTACGTGCCTTTACAGAAATGATTTGTTCTTTCTTGAACATTTATAATGTTTAGTTCTTTTATGAAAGGTGTCACCTGGAAGGTTGCGACTTTTCATGAAAAGTGCGTTTGTATGTTTTGTATAAACATGATCGTTCATGAACGAATATATTAATATGTTGGTCTATAATGAGGTGAAACAACCAATGAACACGACCAAAATCCGTTCCAAATTGGATTTGTTTTATGAATGAAGATGCTATAATTTGCATATTATATATTAAAAGGTTGTGGCCACAACTGATGCCAATCATTCCTGTTGTTGTTATAATATATTATTGCTACATGAAGTGTAGTCAATAATCTGATTTGCAATAGAATGTCGAGACGTATTAGTCTACGACATAAGGAAGTTCGCATTGAGCTGTCGGGACAATAAAATGAGTTTTGGGATATTTAAAATATATCCATGCATTGCACACGTGATAAGACAATGTTCAGTACCAAGGATAAAGCGTTAAGACTTTTTAATGGTTTCTAAGTTTGATACAGGGTATATCAAATAGTGTATCTACGGGATAACACGTTTAGGAATCACCTATGTAAGTGTGAAGTGTAAGCCGCTTCAAGGAGAATTCAGTAAGGCCAGTTCTCTACGCACTTATGAACCGGGTGGTGTTCATGGCTGAAACGAACACAACAATGAGAACCAAAGACGGTTAATGGTTGATTGTGTGACTTATGGTTGTCTAGGTATACACCAAAGCTTGACGGTTCAAAGATATCAATTCTACCAATTGACCGAGTAAATCCGACGTAAGTTCACTACGGAAAGTTCAAAGGGAAACCTACTTATCTAGATGCGATTAGTCCTTACTTGTGAATCACACTGTATTTTCATGCATGTTTTTACACATATGCCCATTCCCCATTCATGTGGGGGATTGTTGCGTTTTTTCTTTAAAGGGTGTGAATGGGAAATGGAAGAGGCATCTTTTGGATTGCACCTCTCCATATCACCCTTCCTTTGTCTATAAATTTGGAGGCTTGGCCTCATTTTTCAAGTGAAAATTTCTCCCCTCTTTTCTATATTGTTGCATTATTTTCAAATAAACATAAGTGTCAAGTCTGATTTGCTCCATCTGTTGAGTTTGCTGAAATTCTGTAATTTCGATTGCCAGTATTGCAAAATAGTTATTTCGTTCTATCCTGGGAGGAATTAATCCAAAACCTTGGGCAACAGTGAGGGGATTAAATTCCTTAAGGACACACAAGCAACTTGTGGGCTCGGAATTATTTTTTTCTGTTTTGTTTATTAAACTATTTTTTTGCTTTTCTGATTTCGAACAAAGTAATACCAACATTCTCAGCAATATTCAAAGAGCTCCAGCTAAACTCCGTCAAAAGCAAAGTGGCATTCGCAACCAAAAGATTGTAAGTCATGAGAATGCAACAAATTTTAAAGTGCCGTAGTCCACCTCTTTCTCTATTTGTTGGGCAAGCTCTCTCGCAGGCGCCAACACTAATGCCAAAGGTCCATCACCAAATTGAATTAAGAGGTTGTTGAGCCAAACAGTGCTGCATGGAAAGAGAATAACATGTATCGTAATTATTAAACATCATAACAATTGAAGCATCTCATATAAGCAAGACCAAGTACAACACTGACAGATTAACAATATGACATGGAAATGAAATACGCAACTTGTATCATAGGTATGCTGAACGCATCGGTCTTCCCACTACCAGTTCCAGCACAACCCAAGAGATCTCTTCCACTAAGAGCAACTGGCATGGATTGAGCCTGAATAGAAGTTGGTGCAGTGTAGTCATGCTTTTCAATATCCTTCAAGATGCTACGATGCAAGCACTGCAGGGATAACAAATAAGAAGGATCCAAATATCTTAATTATGCCCGTAAATTAAAAAGTAAATATAGGGATTTGTCAACGATGAATTTAATTATTCAACTAAGCATATCCGGAAATGATTCAGTCGTCTTTCAAGTCAAGTGAACCCTGCATAGGTCAGGTTTCATTTGGAACTGCGATAACGTGAAACACGCTTAAAGTGAGCTAGGAATATGAACTTATCTGAATGACCGGAGATTATTTTATGAACTTTATCTCCTTTAACGGTATCCAAAAAATTACTTGAAGAAAGATAGTATCAAAATCTGGCCAAATTATAACCATGAGGACAACTCAAGGAAAAAAGGAGAAGATATCACATATGTCAAACATTATAACTTTTCATAATAAAATGTCCCACTTCACCGAAGTCAAGGTTGTAAGGCACAAACAAAGATCATAAATATCAGATAGAGCTTCTTTCACACCTTCTTTCCCACCTGTAACATAATTTGGTTGACATTGGAATGGAGTTCCTAAGCAATGTTTATGCTGGCGCATGATGACTTCATTATTTGGCATAAAAGAGAAGTTGTGGAGAATTTTTGAAGCAGCAACAACGCACTGCTGCTTTTCAGCTCGCTCCTCCTCATCCAAAATAAATAGGCTATCTTTCTCAAATCACCAACCCGCGGGGTGAGACTTGGTATTACTCTTCTAAAAAGTGTAGTCGAGTGAGTGTTTACTCGAACTCGAAATAAAGTTAGCCCTTAGGCTTTACAGATAGTCCACGAGTGAGAGGAGCAAGTTCTAAAAGAGCAAGTTTTTGATAGAATAATTAAGAATTATCGTGCAGTAACCTTATTCTATAACGGCTCTACGATAAAGCTAGTTAGAAGTGTCCCAACCTCATAAGAAGATAGTATGAAGCTCTCACGAGATTGTGTAAAGAGGTGCATGTATTATAATAGAAGTTCAAGATGTGGACGTGAATTATACCTATGTGGAGGGGAGGTCATGAAAGAGATAGAAGATGTGATGTGAGACTTTAAGGTAAGTCAGGTAATGGTGAACAACATACGAGATACTCAAAAGCAGAAGCTTGAAAATAGTCCATATTTCGGTATCCTGTAGATGCCAGAGAGGCATCCTATTAAGCCTTGTATATGCTTACAAAGTGAAGCCTAGAGATTGGCTAAAAGCTGGAGGAAAAAGGAGAGAAGAGTCGTATAGGCACACTTACAAGGTCAGTATCGTAGAGGCTGCATGATAGTGAGTTGTATTTTATGTAAATTGAAATAATTCGTAATTATGTGGATAATTGATTAAGTGGATAAGGGTATTTTTGGGATTGCCATATGGCACTAAGCCAAGCCAAGTGGCACAAATGTTCATGATGAGTCAAAGAACTTGAGTTGCCACGTACGGGTCCTTTGGATGACTACTTGGTTGGTGTCTTAATTGGGAATAACTTCTTACATGCCTTTTCTTTTTCTTTTCTATCACGTGAATTTCCCCAAAGGGAAAGTAGAATTACAACTTCCTTTCACATAAAGGAAAAAACAAACAAAAAAAATTTAATAGAAAGTTGAAAGATGTACTCAGGTACTAGAGGATCCACCTAAACTATTAACTGGAAAACAATTTATACTTAGATTTCTTAGTACTCGCTCTTTTAGAACTTGCTCCTCTCCATTTTAGGCTTTTTTTTTTTCTTTCTGATTTATCAAGTTAATTTATATGTGATGCGTTAAAAGGTGTATTTTAGTATCACCATCATATTACTACACGAACAGATGGAAGGCAGACGAATTCGAAGGTTTAGCAGATGGCAAAGAAGCAATGCGACTATATTGCCTATGCGTCTCAATAAGCAATTTTGATAGCTTGGCCAAACGGGCTCTAGATGCAACTGGTCTAATAAAAATATCCGGTACTTTTTGTATTCTATTAAATTCTAGAGCATTTATGAGAGCAACATACTACTCCTGGAAGTTGAATATTTAAATACAATTAAACTAAATTTTACCCTAAAGTAATATTTATTTAATTATATCTTATCAATGATTTCACTTTTATGAATTATCCATTAATATGTATAATATTTGATTACAATTTAAATTATTTAAAAATTTATGATATAAAATAATTTTATATTAAATAGTTATATAAGAAAGGAATATGAATTATATGAAATGAAAGTAAAAAAGAAAAAAAGAAATGATTTGTTTTATGAAATAAAAAAAATTAAAAAATAATATAATATAGAAGTGAGAGAAGAATATAAAAGGAATATTTTTTTGGTGTAAAAAATAATATAATGGATTGAAGTTAATTTGCACTTTTTTGGTGTAAAAAAATATGGTGCAAGGGTTGGAGATGCCACAGATATTATGCTTTTGACAAAGTCAAGGGAGGGTATTTTGTGGAGTATTAAAGAAGAAAATTAACTCCATGTCACTAGTTACTCTACAATTTTATTTTCACACTTTCCACTTTCTCTTTCTTTCTTTTTCTTCTTTAACTCCATGTTTAGAAAGTAGTGAGCAGTAAAACTTTTCTAGACGTTCCTTCCCAAGAAGGAATAATTATGGTAAGAGACAGAGATAGTTATTTACACCTTGGCTGCGCGAATGACAGATTACTACTCCTTCCGTTTTGTGAACATATTTCCTTTTTACTCTGTGCCAAAAAAAAAAATAAAATAACATCTTTCTATGTTTAAAAATCAATTTACCTTATGTAGTAGTAATGATTTATAGCCACACAAAATACATGTGCCTCATTTTATACCATTAGTTCAAAAGTCTTCTCTTTTTTCTTAAATTCAATGCTCATTCAAATGAGTTCACATAAATTGAAACAAAGGGAGTATAAAGTAATGTCTTTTCATCTATATATCTATATATCTATATAAAAGAGAGCCAATAAAAGATGAGTTGGCACCTCTCTTTGGCCAACAATCATATTTATCTTTTTTCCTGAATTTTTGCCTTTTTACTCATTTAATTTATTTATCTACGTATATTGAGAAGGAAAAAAAAACAGAAATGACACCTTTGAAGTCTTAATACACGTCTTTATCACTTTCTGTAATGGTTGCAGATTCATTGCCATCGTTTTATTTCTTATTCTCTATTCCTTAACGCTATATAATCTCTTCCGCCCCTTTAGAACAACCACCAACTTCTTTTCATCTCCTCTCTTTTTGGAGGACTAGAAATCAGGCTTTTTCTCGTCATATTAGATGTACCCACATGTCGACAGGTAAATGTATGGAGGAAACATGAAGTTCACACGCAAGAATTCGGGATTTTCTACAAATCATGAGAGTTGAGAGTGTCGTTATTCTCAAGTATGTCTTCCTAACAATATTTCTATGCTTCTCTTCTATTTTTCTTCCTTCCATCCCTTAGATTGACCTTCTCCTTCTTTTGACTTTTCTGATTGATTTTTTGGGTTGTTGACATAAAAACCGACAGTATGACCAAGATGATGAGTCAGTTGTCCGTTTCTCCATATATTTATTTTACTATGTTAATTATCTGACTAAATTGTGTCGTACTATAATGTTGATGTACAGAGGCTGAAATTAGGGATGCATATCGTGAATAGCCTGTAATAGTCCCTTAAATTCATAGATCTTGAACACCTATATTCACGTTGTTCATTAAAGTTTGAACAGTTCATATATCAAATATGTAGTAAAGTACTACAGACAAAAAGTTCTACCGTGTTCATCAGGAAGGGGCTTGAAAATACAGTACCTCCGATCCGGGGGAGACGGGAGCATGTACAATTTTTGTTGTTTTTCTTTCTTGTTTTGTGTTTTTCATTTTTCTTTTCAAATTTGTTGGAGACCGTGTGGTTTGTATAGACACATTGTTATCTGGAAAACAATGAATAGGTGACGGATTCACCCCCCCCCCCCCCTTCCCCTTTTCGTTGGAAGGTAGTAGTTTAATTGACCTACTCACCCACTCTCCACGTAAAACAAACAANAATATATATATATATATATAAATAAAATTGTGGGATGAGAAAGGTGATGTGGCATGTCTCAATACTAGGAACTGTATTTATCTTTTTCCTCTTTTTTTTTTGTTTGAGGTTTTCTCCTATTTTAATAGAGGTTAAAATTAAACCGAAGTCACACCCTTTCATTGAAACTCTTTATTACCCATGTTCCGCTAAGAAATCAGGTCCCTACTAATAATTACAAAGTTCATAAGTTACAGTTACATGATAAGATTGTAACGGTGGAAAGTTATTCTTTATTTCTTTAATAAATAATTTTCAAGACTGATGTGCAATTGATTTAGGTGACTAAGGCATGATTATGTATACCAAGATTATGGTTTCTGATGGTAGTGGAAGGGACGAAGCAAAATCTAAGGAAGTTCTTAAAAATTTTACGAAGGAACTGGAGTGGATTACTCTTGCAACAACTTCATTCTACCTACTTACTATGGTTGGGTTTTTTCTATGTCAAAGACTATAGAGTGCAGAAGAAGAACGACACCAAGAAATGAACAGAGTTTTGATATTCTTTCTTCGTTTTTTGAACAAGCTAAGGTAAATGCACAAAGATCTTTTCTGCTTTTAATGTTGGGTTCACGACTAAATCTTTTTTCCAATTTACTTTAGATTTTTTTCTTTGTCTTAATCTACTTCTCTTCTAATACTCAAGGATTTAGTTTTTCCTTTTGGTTTTGGAAAAACAAACAAAATAAGCAAAATCAAATAAGGAGGAGAACAGAAGAATGATTCCCAGGAGAACTAGTTTGGTAGTGCTTCCTTGGAAAATAAAAAATGACAACCCTACACCATTGTCTTCAAGCTTGACTTGCATTGTGAAGGTCTTGCCAAGAAATCTAAACGAATTAGCCATTTAGAAGGTAATTAACAAGGTATACAATGTCATAATTTAACAAAATAACAAAATAATATTACAATCGGCCTAGCCAGGGCATTAAGCCGAGTCCGAGCTGGGCCCAGCCGAGCTTATTATATAGACTATAGAGCTAAGCTCAAGCGAGTCCGAGCGGAGCTCAACCTAGCTTTGTTACAATATAGCTGACCTCGAGCCGAGCCCAAACGTGTTCGGCCAAGCACGACTCAGGTCTACAATTTTTTCTGAGTGCTACGCAGTTAAAAAAAATTAAATTCATGATAACCTGATTGATTAAAAATGAATATAAGTATTAATAGTCTAAATTAATTATTGAGCAAACGTGATTGAATGATATAATAATTAGTTTAACTAAAAATGAATTTTGAGCAAAAAATTCTTCTTACTTCTGATGAGTCGATTAATTTCCCGAGGGTGGTAGACTCACTAGTAGTTATATTCATGTGCTAATTTTAACTCACTTTTAAGTGCTTGAATTTCATCTTCAGTGTGACAATCTGTACATATTTTTTTTGTACAACCATTTTGCCATTTGGCCTTCCTCTCTCTTAATAATCTTTTGCGCAACAGGATCTATTGCATACAACCTAACTAAAATGGTAAGAATCCAGATAAGTGACTTTGCATTTGTTTTCTTCGTTTCTTTTCCCCAGCTTCATCCCGTCTTCAATTAGATTCTTTTTTCTTTCTCGTGCCACTTTGATGCTCACGGTATACGTCGTGTGGTATTGCCTCTGGGTGATTTGTTCCATACTTTTATATCGACCGTTAGCTCGGTATTTGAAGTGGCTAGCCAAGAATCGAGAGGAGAGAAGAGAAGAATATCTGCCTCTATCTATGTCAGATACATCTATTGGTTGACCTATTATTATTAGAGCAATATTTATGTGCATCTGTAGTATGTTGTATTCTGTAATTAATAGGGTTTGCTAGTTCCCTAACTTTAGACTTGAAATATTCATGAATGGCCTTCTTCAGTTTTTTGTTTTTTTTGGCTAGTCGTGAATGGCCTTCATCAGATCTTTTGTTTTTTGGCTAGCTCCCAGGTCCTATTGTAACATCATGTAATGGAGCTAGCATATTTACCTTTGTTCTATGCATCTACTAGATGCATTAATGAACAACTTGCTTCATTTAAAGAAAATGCCTTGTAACTTGCTTCATTTAAAGAAATGACTGCTTGATAGATAAGGAAAATAAGTCGTTATAGATGAATGAAAGTTGTGGAATAGCATATTAGTCATCAATGTTCAGGTACTCTTAAGAGTTAAGCGAGTATTGAAAATTTAGCAAGCAATGCCCATCAATGTATCACTGAAATCAATGTAAAAGTATGTATCACATGGTAATTGACCAGCTACTTCTAGCAATTAGACATGTTGAGATGATTAAAATTCACTTTGACTTACATAGGATGTCTGGTGGAACTTTTTTATGCTTAATGCTTTTGTCACAGATGGTGAGATGGCTGAAAGAAATATTGTACTTACAGATGCTTTGAGATGGAAAATTCCTCTAGTCAGTGATATTGTGCTGACGTGACTCATCCAGAATAGTCAATCAATTGCTGTTGCAACCAACAAAATTTATCTGTTGTATGTAAGAGTTGGAACTTCTTCATGTGTTTGAATTTGGATAATGAGATTTTCTTGATTCAAGGTGTAGCATCACAAGATTGGCCAGAAATTACTAAATATGCAGGTTTGTTATGTGCTCAGCCACAAAGGCGGATCCAAGATTTATACTCTATTGGTTCAACATTTATGGTTCTTAACATTGAGCTTATTATATTTTTAAAGTTATGGGTTCATATATACTATTTGTTGCGATATTAGTGAATTTTTATATACAAATTTACGCTCCTCATTGAAAGTTATGAGTTCAATATAACCCGTAGATGCAACGCTATATATGAACTTGATGCAATTCGTAACATTTGTAGAAATTGGCATCACTTGCTTTATAATTTTCAGTTTTGTGCTTGTCTATTTCACTCATTTATTTTGGTTCACAGGCTTGTGCATCGCTTGAACCAGGCTATATACCTACACTGACCTTCGTAGGCGCCCAAAAATGTCACCATATATGCTTTTTTGCGAACAACCACAATGACGGAAATCAGGTAGACTGTACTGTAAATATTCTACATGGTACACTGACCTTCATAGGGCGCCCAAAAACGTCACCATATATGCTTTTTTGCGAACAACCACAATGACAGAAATCAGACAGACTGTACTGTAAACATTGTACATGGTACACTGACCTTCATAGGCGCCCAAAAACATCATTGTATACGCTTTTTTGCGAACAACCACAATGACAGAAATCGGACCGAGCTGTAAACATTCTACATGCTAACATTTTTGCTCTTCTTACCCTGATTGTGCTTAAACTTATTGACAATGTTTACATTGATGAAAAAAGAGTGCTGGCCAGTTATCCTTTATGCTTAACTATGTGTTATTTTCTCTAACAGCTTGATTATTACTTATGCACTAAGTTGCTTGGAATCAAGTGCGGGTGTGCGATACGGGTGCAGATCTACAGGTTGGATCCTTCATGATTTAAATTTTAAGATTCGGGGTTAGGAATCCAGGTAAGGATATTGGTGGAGGAATTCGGCTAAAAATAATTGAAATATCTAAACTTAGAGTAATAAAAATATGTTCAAGTTATGACACATTATGTGGAAAACTTACAAGGCATTCCAAGAGAAGAATCCCGAAAGGAGATATAAGGAAAAAGACTGATATAGAAATTTTTATATACAAGGGGAGACGGAGAGGAACTTACAAGTCGGCAAAAAAAAGCTTTGAGTGTAGCCATGGATTCTTTTATAAGACTTCAAGAAATTTCGCAAGAAATCTCTCAAGTCGAAGAGGAGAAGCTCCAATCGGAGCAAAGGCTGGGTCTGTTCTGGGAGCATTGTATTCCTCTTTTTTTCAATTTCACCGTAGCTTTTGTTTTGATTTCAGAAATCATCGTATTTATCCCGAATTTCTCCGTCGATTTTGGTCAAAGTACCCAAAATCGATTGATCAAATCCGGTATGGATCCCACGCCCGCACCCACACCCATGTCGTGTCGACACAGGTGCAGCACCAAAAGTGAAGAGTCTGCGCAACTTAGCTTATGCAAGAATTCAGGTGAAATGCTAATCGTTTGTTTTAGTATGTTAATTATAAATTTTGGATTTCTTAAAGTATTTATGGCGTTACAAGTCTTTATTTGGAAGAAAGCTAACTTGCGCCGACTCTTCACTTTTGGTGCCGCCCCCGTACCGACACGACATGGGTGTGGGATCTGAACCGGATTTGGTCAACCGTTTCAGGGTAGTTTGAGCAAAATCGATGGAGAAATTCGGGATAAATACAATGGTTTCTGAAATCAAATCAAAAGCTACGGTGAAATTGAAAAAAGAGGATTACCTTGTATGTAGTTTCATAAAAAAAAAATTACCTTGTATATAAAAATTTCTATGTGAGTCCTTTTCCTTTTATCTCCTTTTTGGATTCTCCTCTTGATTAATATTTTTGTCCTTCTTGGAATACCTTGTAGTAATTTTTCCACATAATGTCTCATAACTTGAACTTATTTTTATTACTCTAATTTTAAATATTTGAATTATTTTTAGCAAAATCCCGGCACTTGTGGACCTGTAGATCTGCACCCGTATTGGACAACCGCACCCGAGTCCGAGCAACTTAGGAAGAAAGCTCCACATGATTTAGATGTTGTTGCTCCCTGCCAGTGAGTTAACAGTGTTGGATTTTTCAGGAACTAGCCGTCCTGCACATTCTTCTTTGTTTCTGGCAGAATTTCTTAGTGATGGTTTAATTGCAGGTCTGCTCGTTGCAACCGATCTGTGTTAGTAGGTAAATTTCTCATAACTGCTGTTCATTTCTTTATTCCATGCATTCTTTCGATGTGTCCATATATACACGTATGCACACATAGATAATGGATTAGTAACTTTAGATTTGATCTATGCAGAGCAGCAGAGGAGAGATATTGTTGAGTACTTCAGAAAGCAGCTCTCTGGTTCTGCCTTCACTGATAGCGGATGGTTTCAACGTTATGACCTCGATGTGTAAAGCCACCTATCCTCTATGGTGATGTGAGCCGTCCGAAACTAATGACTGTCTGGTCCTCAACAGCTCAAAGATGCTCCTTACCTGTTTCAACTGGTCTTTTGATAGAATGAGCAGCCAACGCAACTTTTGTACGCCCTCTCCAGTATTAGAATTTTATACCTTCTCCAATAATGTGCAATGAATTCAATGCTTATAGAATCATCTCTGTGAAAAGTAAAATGAAAAATATAACTGCTCTACATGTCCTTATTACCTTCTCATTTTAGATTGTATGCTTGCAAAGCCCTAATATGAGTGTTATTTCCAGAAAATACAGTTCATCTTTGTCAGGCTATTGCTTATGGTGCCTTGTTCTATCAAAGGATCTTCATAAAGCATTTTATCCTCAATTCTCGGGTTAAAACCTTGACAACTTGAAGACCATAACAATTGCTTTCAATTTGCTTGAAGGTAAGAAAAATATGGAGAAGAAAGATACTCCCTCCGGTCCACAATAAGTGATCATTTCACCCTTTTATTTTGGTCCAAAATAAGTGTCCGTTTACATAATCAAGAAGGAATTAATTTTTTTTTTCTAAAATTTTCCCCTTACATATTCCAAAGTACAACACTATTGTCCAGTGGTATTGGCATGTAACCACGCTCATTCTGGAGATGGTGTCGTACTATTTGGATTTAGTTTGGAATGCAGGCTCATATCAGTTATATGTTTCGTAACTTCAGTAATATAACTGGATTGGATTGCATTGTAGTATGCATGTCCTACAAACAGGAGATTCATCTGCTGAGGAGAAAAGGTACAGGCTGCAATTGTTGGTTCAATAATTCTTGGTTGAAGAACACAAGCTACGCAGGTTTTCTGGATTCACTTGGCCTACGGATTCACATGCACCAGATTATGTTGTTATTGCACTTGCACTACTCTTCTATGGAAGCTAACATTCTTCTTTCATGTAATAGCTAGATTATTAATGTTGTTTACATCTTATATTGTAATAGCTAATGGTTGTAAGGCCTGGACCCATTTTTGGGATTTTATATATATTAGCCACTAGGCATCCAGCCTTGTGGTAAAAAGAACTTGGGCCTGTAAAGGAGAGGAGTCTGATTGAAAAAACTGTGTCTGAAGCGGCGAGTATCACATCACTGAAAAGGCACTTATTAAGTACCCACACAAATTGTATCTGTCTTGAATATTGCCTTACGCACTCTTCACCTTCCTCTATAGTCAATCAATCTATTACCCCCTTTTAATACTATTGTTTTTCAAAAACAGCAATGGCGTTGAAGGAGTATACATCCCCTGAATCTGATCAACCGCCTTCAACATCAAGGAGTATAATACAACATAAAATTTCGGACCTCACTAGCTCTCTCCACTGATCAACAAACCATCCCATTCACAGTTGGTTGCATGGCCCATCATATTGGTCAGTCATTATTATTCAATCATTTTCAAGATTCTACTAGCAACGTGCGTGAGGCAATATTGGGGGAAGATATAGAGAAGGAGCGTATTAGGAAAGAGATTATTGCAGAAGAGGTTGATCAAAGACGCGTGTTGGAGTTAGAAGTAAGAAGAGAGCTTACGGAAACATCTCTACCTCCACAAGTTAGTTACATTGCCCCTCATATTGGTTTGTCGTCGTCATTCAATTATTTTCTAGATTAATGACAACAGTAATTTTCGAATAGGTGTGGTTGCATATCACTACAGGAAATTAAGACATTAATTCACGTTCAATGAGCCATAATAACATCAATTTGCAAGTTTGAAGTCGTCAGTATCTTACCGATATTTTGACAATATGAGTAAAATACTACTACACTTGTAATAAATGAGGTAATTTACTACTGCACATTTAAAGATAGAAGTATTTTACGCATTATTGAGCTTACCGATATCTTTTGCATATCAGTAAACGACTACTATATTTGACATAATAGAAGTAATATTTTACAATACTTAATCACGACAGTAATTTACGAATAGGTGTTGTTACATATCACTACAGGTAATTACGAAACTGTTGCTGACATCATTATTTTTCATGGAAGGAAGAGTGTGATTGACACTTCTGTCTTGGAAGAAGAGATGACAGATATATCAATAAATGACTACTACACATGTATATGTAAGATTATACTGACGGCAGTAATTTTCGAATAGATGATTTTTCTTGGAAGGAAGAGCATGATTGACATTACTGTCTTGGAAGAGGACAAGACACTGTGGTCTTCATCAAAATTTCTCTACTGATAAGTTAAAAATGTCGTTAAGCTCAACAATTCGTAACAAACTTCCATCATTAAATGTGCAGTAGTAAATTACTGCAATTATTACAAGTGTAGTACTATTTTACTGCTAATACGAAAATATGATACGGAGGTAATTTACTACTGCACTTTTAAAGACAGTACGAATTGTTGAGCTTACCCATATCTTTAATTGAAATATCAGAAAAGGACTACTACACTTGTCATAGTATAAGTAGTAGTTTACTAGTATAATTTTCATGATAGTAGTAATTTACGAATAGGTGCTTATTTCACAAGAATTAATTTTACATCAGACTTAATAATTTGATTTCAAGTATCACATATGAACTCCAAACAATTTACATATGTTGTTAATACCATATTAACGATATATTAATAAAATTTAGTTTGATGTAAAGTTCTATTTTTCTTATTATGAATACAGTTACAACTTGCAGTAATTCGTTTTCCCTTCACATCTTCAAGATATATGGCGCAGCTTACTTTGTGTACGAATTAATCACGAATTTTTTTATAATTGTGGTTTATACCAAAAAAGATATGATATTTTTTTTGAATTTGTATAAATCATTTCCTCTAATCTTTCTTTTTTCCTTCCAAACAACCCATAATGTTATTTAACTGAATAAGATATTTCAATTTGTATAGTTGAGGGGGTAATTAAGATCATATGTTTAGGGGTTTTATTTAGGTATTCTGCCAAATACAAAAGCGCTCAAACATTCCACCATTCAACAGGTACGGACGGCGTCAAAAGTGTTGTACATTACTATTAAGCTCATTGAATTTACTCTTTCGTTACTGTGTTCTATTACTGCTCCTTTGAATAATCAGTAAGGATGACTTCAAATAACGTTAGTCCATTGAGCTCGTAAATTTTCTCTAAGGCGCTATCTCGGCGGAGAACACTACAAGGTAAGTAACTACTCTGTTAACATTCGGATTTTTCTCGCAAGACTTCCACTTATGCTTTGACTTACGTAATAATTACTCTGTAACATTACTCCAAAACCACAACTTGGAGGTAAGGCCGCCAAAAATTTAAAATTCAGTCGTTAGTGTTTACAAAGGCGGGTACAGACCTTCCTTTAGATGAAATATCATTTATTTCATTCGATCCATGATTCTAGAACACTAGTAGATGCTAATTTTAGTAATTTTTTGCTTAGTTCTTCAATTTGAAAGTTATTATTTGTCACGACCCGGATTGCCCACCCTCGGGATCGTGATGACGCCTACTCGTAGAAGCTAGGCAAGCCACAAATCATAAACTCCTACCTCTTTTTATTTTAAATCCTTTTTATCAATCATAGCAACAAGCGTTAAATATTCAAATAACAGCGGAATATGAAATTAAAGAGGAAGACTTAAATTAAATAAGCTGAACAATAATGCGGAATTCAACATGTGCCTCTACCCAAGAACTGGTGTCACAACATTCACGGACTACTAAGAGTACTAAATACAACTGTTTGAAAGAAATATAACACTGTATGTCTCGAATACATGAGATAACAGAATGAAATATAAGATAGAGGAGACGCCGGGCCTGCGGACGCCTGCAAGGCTACCTCGGTGTCTCGGTGGACTGAAGGCTGGCTCCCGAGCTACTGCAGCTGTCTGGTACCTGGATCTGTGCAAAAGAGCACAGAGTGTAGTATCAGCACAACCGACCCTATGTGCTGGTAAGTGCCTAGCCTAACCTCGGCGAAGTAGTGACGAGGCTAGACCAGACTACCACATAAACCTGTGCAGTTATATATATACAGCGGAACAGAGATACAGAGATAACCAATCAATATGGGAGGGGGAGCATGCTGTGGGGAAAGATAACAACACCGAGTAAAAGTCATCAAGTAACGAAAGAAGCACACAACTCAGAAATCAATAAAGAATCAGAAATCAATAAATTCACGGCATCACCCTTAGTGCTTTTACTCTCGTCCTCACCAAGCAATGATATAATAAAAACGTGCACGGCATCACCGTTCGTGCTTTTACTCTCTTTCCTCACCAAAGCAATTATATGATAAAATGTGCACGGCATCACCCTTCGTGCTTTTACTCTCTTTCCTCACATATAATCAATAGAATCGGCACGGAATGGTACATCGTGCGGCACGGCATCACCCTTCGTGCTTTAACACTCTTCCTCACCCAAACAACAATCACAAACAAGGGGCAAGGGAATAAGCAAAATAATAAAAGAAATCCCGGCAAGCCAACACAATTAACCAATTAAATCCCGGCAAGGGTACAATATTAACAATCTCAACATCCCGGCAAGGGAGATAATCCACAAAGCAACAGTATCCCAGCAAGGGAATAATTTAATAACTCTTTCTCTTTCTTTCACTTTTATTTCATAACTCACTTTACCACTTGAGCCAATGCTCCAAAGGGTTTCAATCATCTCATATACTTTCACAATTCATAATATAACTCGAGCCAATGCTCCATGATGTTCAAAGGTCTCAATTCCTTCCACAAACTTTTCACAACAACTAGAAATCATCACCAAAGCATGAAGAATACAATGAAATCAAGATATTCACAATATAAGGACTCACGGTCATACTAGACACCAACGTATAGATACTCGTCACCATGTCTATACGTCGTACACGACTAATACCACATAGCAAATAGGACTCAACTCTTAGTCCCTCAAGCTAAGGTTAGACCAAACACTTACCTCGATGCTTTGAACACAACTCAAGTCTCAATTATAGCTTTACCCTTTGATTCCACCGCCAATTCGCTCGTATCTAATTAAAAGTTACTTAATTACATCAATAACCGCTAAATGAATCAACCCCAATGCATACAAATGAGTTTTCCAAAGTTTTACCCAAAAGGTCAAAAATCGCCCCCGGGCCCACGTGGTCAAAACCCGAGGTTCGAACCAAAACCCGATTACCCATTCCCCCACGAACTCAAATATATAATTTATTTTGAAATCGGACCTCAAATTGAGGTCCAAATCCCCTTTTTTTTAAAAACCTAGGTTCTACCCAAAACACCCAATTTCCCCCATGAAAATCTTTGATTTTAGGATGAAATCATGTTGAAAGATGTTAATGATTGAAAGAAATGAGTAAAAACTAACTTACAATTGATTTGGAAGAGGACTTGTTCTTGGAAAATAGCCTAAGTGTGTTTGGGTTTGAGAAAATATGAAAAGTGAAGTTCAAAATCGGTTACGTGTAAAAATTGCAGGTCTCTGATATGGGAAATGCGAACATGGGTTCGCAATTGCGAACCCCGACCTCTCAGATGTGGGAATTGCGAAACAGGGTTCGCATTTGCGAAACCTTCATAATTTCCCAGCTTTCGCATTTGCGAAGCAGTAGTCGCAATTGCGACTTCGCATTTGCGAGTGAAATATTGCATTTGCGATGTCTGAGGATTTAGGCGGGCATCGCTTTTGCGATGGAAATCTTCGCATTTGCGAAGAAGGCTGCCCAGGCGTTTCTCGCATTTGCGATGCATGGCTCGCATTTGCGAGCTCGCATTTGCGAGGCTGGCTTCGCAAATGCGAAGCCTGCAGGTCAGTTCATACCAGCAAATTTTAAGTTCAAAAATGCAACCCGTTGCCTATCAAAAACTCACCCGAGCCCTAGGAGCTCCAAACCAAATATACACACAACCTCAATAACATCCTACGGACTTATTCGTGCGATCAAATCGCCAAAATAACATCATAAACATCGAATTAAACCTCAAAATCCAAGAATTCTTTCAAACTTCATAAAACATCAAAT